CCTCGGATATCAGATGGGCTCCACTTACATGCAGCACCTCCCATTCAATAACGTCGACGCAGGGCATCGGCGTCGTCGTAGCTCACTTCTAATGGAAACTGCCAAAAGATAGTCTTTAATATATTTCTCTAGGAGGAAGGATTAGGGACGAATCCCACCCAAAATAGTGAGTCGTATTACTGACGCTATGTTTGAAAGTCATCATGCTGTGATTGAAGCCATCAAATGACCTTCATTTCCTCGTCGTGATTCATTTAGCTCCCCCTCCATGATGGTATTAGAGTAGGTGAACAACAGTAATCTGGACGATGGCAATGCATTCACCAGGTATGATAAAAATGGAGGATGCTAGAATGAATCGCCTGCTGAGAAACGGATTTAGATACTGGATCAATTAGGGAAAATTTTCTATTACCTCTCTTATAATAGAAAGTGATGTCTCATGCCAAATACCACAGAAATGAGCCACAAGAATACCTCATGAAGGTGTTGAGGGCAGGTGGAGGAGAGACGCCGCTTCAGTATTATCCAAATTCTCATTCGCTGTAACCTCCAGCGATATTTTCCAATTGATGATAATCACACTTTCCTTAGCATAAACGCTTGGGAAGTAGAAGTGAATAGAGGTGGTAAGGATTTGGTTTCCATTTCCTAGATTTAATACATTCCAAAAACTTTTGAAAAATGATATGGCCAACCCACTGTTAGTGTTTGGTTGAAAATACTGTTATATTCACACCTCTCTTGCCCAGTTGGCTAATTCCGTATACACACTACCGAATTCACCAATCCCTTTTATGCAGTTACTAGTAAACGAATATGTTTCTCCTGCCACTTTTTGAAGTTTTTCCTGGTTTCGCTGATCAATGCCTAATCTATTTTATTCCTAAGACTAATGAGCAAATGTGAAACTCCTACGGATGGCCCTCTACACACTGGTGCAGCAAAATGGGTTTTATTCTGACGACCCTAATTAGCAAGCAATTTGATTTTCATATTATCCTATTACTACTGCAGTCAAAAGTGATATAAAGCTGTTTTCACTATAATTTATAGAAGAATTAAGTAAATCCTTTAATACTCATTAGGTCAAACGGAAATGCAATGCGCAAAATCAAATAGACTCGGTGACAAATTTTGAATACGCATATCTAAGGCAACATAACATTCATATGCAATATGCCTACACTTATTTCGTTTTGACTATATTTTCTTTAGGTATGAATAATTCCGCCCATTTTTTACCCCCTCGAGAGCAGCGTAACTACCGCTCTCAAATGATTGACAATATACTGCCTGAAGAGCAACCTAAAATGGGTTTGTTTGTTATAAATTGGCTTATTTTACTGACTAGACTCGGGGTCGAAAAGCACAGCCAAACGGTCTGACTTCGCGATGCTACTGAGCGTAGGAAACCGTGCTAGGAAGATTCAGCTGTAATAAAGATGTCCGACAATTGGCTGACAGTTCCGATGAGTACATAAGGAAAACTGAGGACTGTCAAAATACAACTACACTAGACAACTCCAGACTTTTTATTTTTTAAAAAAAATTGTGGTTTTACTAATATTTATTTCTGTTTCACTCTTAATGTTAAATGTGATTGCACAATGATACTGTCATTCAAATGCAATTTTAACACTTGGAGACATAAAGAAACTTAATCAGCCCTGCCTTTTTTCTTACACCCAAGAGGGGCATCACATAAAACATCTGTGATCTCTGCTTTAGTTAATGTCTTGCTGCTGTCAGGAAAACGAATGAAATGCATAATCAATAAAGCTAATCTGGTGCCCTAAGGGCAAAGAGGTGAGGTCTGACGTTTGAGCTGTAGCATAACCCGCATGGCACAAATCAGTGAGGTGGTTGTTCACCTAACAAAGATTGGCACAAAAAGGCACGGATGACTACTTTTTATTACATGTCAGTAGGTCATCCAGGAAGGAATCCAAAACATTCTGTGTTTTGTTACGTACGTGACAAAGGTGAAGAACAATAAGCCGTGGTCATAATAACATATTCTCATGAGTTGTTAATGCACCGAGTGACAACCGTCCACTCAATAACTTCCACTATTTACCCATCCTCATCCACTTGCTTCATGTAGGTCTCCAATGCTGGTTTCACCTCTCTCGATAATCAGTACCAATGGTTTTCCATCACTCGTCAATCACACATGGTCTCGCGTAGAGTGACACGCAGTTCCATACTATCACGAAAAGAAGATTTGGATGCTACAGAGGACGCAGTTCTCGTCTGGTGCTTTAACACGATAACTCACCTACTGAATTTTGACCACTTCCGAATGGGCTACTGTTCTGCTTACGCACGTCACAAACCACACCGCACTTTGCTAAATGTCGTTCATGAAGCCATACGGAAACCAAATCAGACACCATCCGTAAAGCCAATGATCCCCACTTACACCCATAAGGTGAATTCATTGAATAGAGAATTTTATTATATGGTGGCTAAAGTAGGCGAAAAGCAGTATAGATCGCAAAGCATTATCTTACCAACAGCAGACTAATGCATGTGACATGTCGTGACAAGCTATAACAAGGCACTACGGAGAGCAATGTCTAAAGTGGCACGAACAATTCGCTCAACTAACAATTCTGAGAGGTGGCTGGGCCACAGTAAATCAGGATAAAGTGGAAGAGTAAAGGAAGAAATAAAGTTGAAAAGTAAAGCAAATAAAATTAAGCAGGTTCAACGGATGATTTGTTGCTACCAAACTTAACGGTTTCATAAGATCATGCGATTTTCCCTAAAAGTATCCTCTCAATGGCAACAGAAATTCTTTCTATGTATTTTGAATTTGATTAATGGTTGCCTGCTTAATCAATCGCTTAAGAGCAAGCAATCCTAAATATTTTACTAAGCATGATAG